TTTTGATACTACAGCTAGAATCGAGATTGCTCTATATACAGGGTGATTCATAACTATTGGGACATAGATTAAGAACAGGTTATTTCGATCAAAATATGGCGATAGGACCAAATATACCTTAATAAAATATGGCTGTGGAATAAGATACAGGGCGTTAAAGTTGAATTTTTTTTTCTGATAATCTCACTGTATATTTATGAATTGTTATCAAAATCGACTCAAAGGCATATGTTTGGACAAGGGATATTATTTTATGTATTATTTCACATTTTTTTACAGGGGGCGCCACGAGAATGATTCCTGATGATGAAATTAAGTGGTAAGTTTTTTGCCGAAACTTTTTAGTGCTTTTTATTAGAAAATATTACGTAAACATCATTTCTACGTAATATTGGTACTCATGTTTAAACACGATAATTTCACCTGTTTTCGAGAAAAACGCAATTGAACAGTTCAGAGTCTCAGAAGGATATTTCAAAAAATATTTTATTTTTGAAAAGTGTGCTTTGGACTGTCAGATAATTGTGTCTGGTAAATGTCAGTTCTTGCCAATGAATTATTTTTGCTGTGAGATTATAGTCTATTGTTGCATTTTTTAAAGCTTTTTCGACTGAAATGCCTCGTCACAATCATTTTACGAATGAAGAAATGCGGGATATGGTTTGTGTATACATATGCACAAGAAAATTTTTGCGGTCGCATGGCAGCCAGAAGGTATGAATTGTTATATCCAGACAGAAGGCAACCAAATCACAAAACTTTTGCAAATCTATTTCATCGTTTGGGTGAAACCGGGTCATTTCATAGTAAAAATCTGGGTGGTCGTCCGAAACAAATCACACCTAATGAAGAAGATGAAATTTTGGTTCGAGTAGATGAAAATCCTTAAGTAAGTTCACGTCAACTGGCAATAACAACAGGAGTAAGTCAGTCGTCTATTATTAGAGTTTTAAAAAAAGAAAAGTTTCATCCTTATCACTTCACTCCTGTTCAAAATTTGCTTCCAAGAGATCTCCCAAGACGGTTACAGTTCTGCCAACGTATTCCCAACAAACATAATTATGACCGAAATTTTATTAAAAATATTATGTTCACCGATGAAGCGACTTTTACTAGATGAGGTGTTTTTAATTATCGAAACAGCCATCACTGGGAAGAAGAAAACCCACATGAGTTTAAATTTAATATTTGGTGTGGCATTATAGGCGACCAACTACTAGGGCCATATCGTCTTCCTCCAAATTTAAATGGAGATTACTATTTATTTTTTTTGCAAAATACTTTTAGAGATATTTTGGATGATATGCCACTAGATGTAAGAAGGAAAATGTGGTTTATGCAGGATGGAGCTCCACCTCATTTCCCATTAGTTGTTAGAAATTATCTAAGTGACATATTTCCTCAACGTTGGATTGGCAGAGGAAGTAATTTTGAATGGCCACCAAGAAGTCCTGACTATAACCCTCTTGATTTTTATGTATGAAGTCCTCAGTTTATTCCCAGGAAATTAATTCACGAGACGAACTCTGGCGGAACAAACAAAATGCGGGTAATTTTATAAAGGGACAGAATAATATTTTCTTTGCCATCCGAAAGTCCTTTATTAAAAGAATTAGAAAAGGCATAGCAGTCGAAGGAGGTCACATTGAACATTTAATTTAAGTTTGCTTTTTTTATGTTAAATTGTTTTTAATTTTGCTTTACCGTTGAAATAGAAGCCTTACGTTACAAGTTTTCTTATTGTGTTATTTGGAATCCCCTTCTGAGACACTGAACTGTTCAATTACGTTTTTCTCGAAAACAGGTGAAATTATCGTGTTTAAACAAGAGTACCAATATTACGTAGAAATAATTTTTAGGTAATATTTTCTAATCAAAAGCACTAAAAAGTTTCGCCAAAAAAGTTACCACCTAATTTCATCATCAGGAATCATTCACGTGGCGCCCCCTGTAACAAAATGTGAAATATTACATAAAATAATATTCCTTTTTCAAAGATATGCCTTTGTGCCGATTTTGATAATAATTCATAAATAAACAGTGACATTATCAGAAAAAAAAAACGAAAAAAAAAATTCAACTTTAACGCCCTGTATCTTATTCCACAGCCATATTTTATAAAGGTATATTTGGTCCAATCGCCATATTTTGGTCCAAATAACCTGCCCTTAGCCTGTGTCCCAATAGTTATGAATCACCCTGTATAATGTTATTTCATTATGGGTTTTCTCGGTTTGGGTATTATTATTACCTCAGCAGTTTTCCACCTTGAAATCGAAATGCTGCGTTTATTATATTGGTCAATTTAAACCTTCTCGTGGTAGGTAATTTCTTTAGTGGGAACTATTTCTACAATAATATTGTTACTCAACTTTTACAACAACTATTCAACTGATAATATTAACATGTAACGTCTATCATAAAACTCCAAAACTGACGTCAGGATCATCCTTATATAACTTTCTCGAACTCTCGTCTAGAATATTCTTGACGGGTAATAACATTTCCATACATTTCTGGACTATTCTATCTTCTTTTACTTGTACTTTTACTTATGACGACCGCAGCATACTGTATGGTGATGAGTAACATTCCACTTCTTTTTCTATCTGTACGTTTCCTATAATAGCCGCAGGCTACTTCAGGGTGCTGCGTAACAATATTGTTTTTATTTCTCTTTGTAGTTCTTAAGATCTAGTTAATAATTTTTCCTCTGTATCACTAACTTCCTCTTGGTTATCCATTTCAATTTCAATTTCTGGATTCGTGTGGAAGATGCGTTCTAAATAGTTGGCAAAAGCATCATTTTTTTTTGTTTGCAACCTCTTACCCACATCAGAACGATATTGTTAAAAAAATATTACCAGAAGTCTGCGAATTTTAGTTTATTTAGTAACAATTAGACAATTTAGTAATGAAAGTTTGTCGAATTTAAAAAATTTGTAGATGACATTATTAATATTAACAGAAATATACGAGCCCCGTCCAGCTTCAGTTGGTCCACCTGATTAAATATCAGTTATTGCCGTGTATCGAAGGTCATTTGAGTTATAGAGGTAAAATTGTCCACTTTTATTTTTAAAGCAACATTTTAAAAACATTTTGCATAAAAAATAAAATAGTTACAACAACTGGAAATTATTAGGACTTAAAAACTAGAAATAAGGAAATTTATGATTTTTTAAACTCTAAGATATCTTATTCTACCACTGAGTAACGTCCCCTTTATTTTTAATAACTGCTTCAATTCTTCTCGGCATAGTATTTACTAAATCCTGACACTGCGCTGGAGTGAAATTTTCCCAAATATTCTGCAGCCTGTGCTTGAGTTCTGGAACAGTTCTGGCAGGATTGGCTCTTAACCGTTTTTTCATTTCATGCCACAAAGTCTCGATAGGCGAAAGGTCCGGACTAGAGGAAACCCATTTTAGGAGTGGTATTTCATGATCTGAAAGCCATTTCATGGATTTTTTGGACGTGTGACAGGCAGCACCGTCTTGCTGAAAGGTGAAGTCATTTCCAGAAATCCTACTCTCTTCCAAAGTAGGCAACAAAGAGTCCTCTAGAATGTCTAAATATTTTTCTGTGTTTACAATTCCGTTGATAAAGTTTAATTTTCCAACCCCTCTAGACGACATTGAACCCCAGACCATTACCGAAGATGGAAATTTAACTTTGCGGATAACTCTGCTCCGGCTATCTCCGACACACACTTCAAATCGCGATTCGTCACTCCAATGTATAATATTCCACCTCTCCATATCCCAATTTCGATGATATTTAGCCCATTTCAACCTGTCTCGCTTCTGTTTTGGAGTCAGTAACGGTTTTTCTTTAGCCTTTGCAAACGAAAAAGATTATTATCTTTTGAACCTTTAGATTGAACTCAGAAAAATTACCTTTTATGTACCAAATCCTAGTTTTCTGGCTTCTGCATGACATGTAGACCTACAAACACGTCTTCCAACGGCCTCACTCCAGAGTACACTCAACTCTCCGTAGTTAGCATGCCTATTAGACTTAATAATTCTGGCTAAAGTTCGTCTATCATTGTCTGTTAATTTGGACTTTTTCACATATCGGGCCTTTTGGGCACCTGAACCGTTTGATTTGTACAATTGAACAATATTCCGAACACTGTATCTGGATAAGCCGAGTAATATTCCAATTTCGCCATTTGATTTTTCAGATTTGTGTAAATTAATGATAATTGATCGAATATTTTCATCAATTGCCTCTCCTCTCTCCATTATTGACAACAAATAGGACTATTAAGTAATTAGGCATTCCAACGACCTGTCAAACAATAGGTGCCAGTGGGAAATTCTTGTATATTTAAGGGGGGTAGCGACATAGTCTTGCAACTTGGACGCTATTTTTATTCGAAGTAGTACTCGCCAAGCCTGCCAATTTATGAAGAAATGTATAGATGGGTTTTTTAAATATTATTTTTATTGTGTTTGACATAAAATATTTAAATGTAATCCATTATTCATGATTTTACGTAAAGCAGATAGAATACACCATATGCCGCCACCCTTAGATATACCAAACCTGCCCACTGGTAATTCATTTGTTTGGAATGCCTAATTGTTTTACAATCGGAACTTATGTCACTGTCATTTCCGTCAAAAAAGTGTTGTTTTCATAGCCACCTTAACCCTCGTCGTTAGCAATACTTGGGTAATAGAATCATAGAGTTAACAAATTTATCAACTCTATTAATAGAATGAACGCAAGGATACTACTTTTTTAACCATGTATTTTTTGTGAGACAGCACTATACATTGAACTCAGATATCTTCTATATTCCCGTAAATAGTATATTTTGTCTTAAATATTACACTGTAGAGGCTGGTTTTCTCCTTGAGCGAAAAAATCCAAAAATATTACTAATTTTATGTGTGGGCTAACTGAAGCTGGACAGGGCTCGTATTATCTAATAAGGATAATAATATTCATAACTGATTTTATGTTATTTATTTTTTTCGAATTTTTAGGTATCTGAAAACCAGAGAACAAGAGGACGTCGATTATATCGCCGATGGTGTAAACATTGGACACGAAATGAGGTTCAAAACAGAAACCATGGAGGCTGATCGCCGCGGCGATGGGGTAGACGAACCCGATTTGTTTGAGTCTCTTTCTGCCAGAGCCAGAAGAAGAGGGACCAATAATAGGCAGCCATATCGTCATAGAGGTAATTATATTTTTATAAAAGTTAACAACTCCATGTAAAGCTATGTATATAGATAATAAAGTAATGGGTATCGGTAGATATAATACTAACTTTTGAGCAGACGTTTTAATAATTATACCATCGTAACAAAAACTTGGATTTTTTTATCAGAAGCCTCATAAAGGCTAAAGATGTATCCTTATCTAACACTTGCCATGTTTGAAAGCTATGATATTTTAAGGGGTGAACAAACTAGAAATTTTTCACTATTTAAGTTCACATTATTCAGTATATGAACCGCCTATCTAATCCATGGCCTAGTATTCACAATTTTTGTATCTTCCAAAATATGTCATAATTTCTTATTCTTAAATTTAATTTTCGTTCGTTCACCTGATCTTTCTTTATACCTTCTAATGACAGTAGAAACTCATCGTTTCACTATTTCCACAATACTTTAAGTGTATACAAGCTTCATCACTCTTTCTTATCTTTTACTTCATATTATCATATTTTAATTGTTGAAACATTGATGGCCAATTTTTAAGTAATTTCTCTGCCAGTAATCCGCTGTGTTAATGTCAGGCGATCTTGGTGGCCACGAATTTACAAAATGTGGTTTTCTTTTGATACTTGTACAGTACGACAAATTTAACATGGCAAGTGAAATGCGCAAAACCTAGAAAGAGATCAGCCTGAGAAAGATAGACGCAGACGCAGCGTGCAGTGAGTGAAGTAGCCACACCTTCTGACGTATGCTGCTGCTACTGCTCTTATATCACATACTTTGATTTTCTTTACTATACGGGGCAAGAGAGAGGTCCGACACGCCCAACATAGGGCGCGGCCATTTTGAACCCTATGACACAGTTTATAGTTAAAGAATCAGATCGCTCACTCTGCGTCGGCACTTTTTATCTCAATGTTCCAGTTTATACACTGCGCAACTCAGATAATACAATATATGATGTTATTTTGGAACTTTCAACTAGTCCGAGTGAGCTAACTGATTCTTTAGCAATAAACTGTGACTCCAAAAATAATATTCACTGACACCCACATACTTTGATTTTCTTTTACTATACGGAGAATGGTCGCACTGCGCAGCTTTCTGAGTGCCTTTTAAAAGGAGATAGAAAACTCCGCCATTTTGATCCCTTATTACGTGTTGCCTACATCTTGGCGCAATATTTTTAATAGGTGCCTTTTAATCATCCGCTTCTGATTCGGAATTGTCGCTTTTCTTGTTTTAATCTGCCAGGTTAACACGACTAAACCAACAATTCCGGAAGCAGAAGCGGATGATTAAAACGCACCTGATATTTTGCTTGCTGCTGTCAGTGTCAGTAAATATTATTTTTGGAGTCACAGTTTATTGCTAAAGAATCAATTAGCTCACTCGGACCAGTTAAAAGTTTCAAAATAACATCCACTCCAGGGATACAAATTCAGGATACGCAGAAGACTGCTGTTTTATTATAGGCGGTTGTCATATATTGTATTATCCGAGTTGCGCAGTGTATAAACTGGAACATTAAGATCAAAAGTGCCGACGCAGAGTGAGCGATCTGATTCTTTAGCTGTAAACTGTGGCATAGGAATCAAAATGACCGCGCCCTATGTTGGGCGAGTCGGACCTCTCTCTTGCACCGTATAGTAATCAAAGTATGTGCGATAAACATATCTAAAGCGAAAGTGCGCTTCTAATTTTGACTTGCCATCCCAATCTTGTCGTACTGTATATGTCATGAAACACTTTTGTTTTCCATGCAAACATTATTTTAGCAATTGAATTTGTTTGCTTTTTATTATTGGCTTAATTTGTTGAATTTGTACAAATATTTGATTTAATTCTCGTATAATAGCCCCATTCTCATCTCGATAAGACATCTTAAACTGGAATGCTGTATTTTCTAGTTTTAAAAGTATAGCGACGACATTTGCAAGAGTTTATATTATTATATTAAACTGATATATTAGGTTTTTGCTTTTGAAAGTGGTTATATAATTATAAAAAGTCTGACTTTTAAATTTAACAATTTATGTTCTCCATATACTTATAACTTCATTTACTTTCATATTTCACAAAATCACTCGTCTTTCTAAATACAAGTAGATATATTTCCAAAATCTTGATATAAACACCTACTTAGACGTTTTAGTTATGTTGTAATGTTGATTGTTCGATATAAGTCTTCTACTTTTTTCTGTATGGTGTAAGTATAGAAAACCGTATTGCCAAACTGTATTGCTTCCAATGTGTGCTTTCAATATTTTGTAACGGGAACATCTCTGGGGAGTATATGCAAGGAATATGCATGCTTAAAATCGGAAGTCGTAGCTTTGAGGCTTATTCTTACCTCCGTAAATATTGACTCCAACCTCCTATTTTAGGTTTAGAGGACGTTGGTGCCTCCCCTCTAGACAGAAAAGACGCACTCACCCGCCGACCCCTAGACTTCGATCAAGAAGAAGAGACACGTAAAGTTGAAACCTCCAAGTGGTTGGAGCACCACTTCGGCAGCGAATCGCGTTCCTCTAATAACTCCACCGTGGAGGAAGAGGAACAACCTCCGAAGACGAGTTTCTTTAACGTAACGATTAAGTCCCAACCCTCTAGGACCGAACCCCCTGTTCACAATAGCTACGTTTCTACGGTCAAAGAAACGTCTAGAGTTTATAGTCCGGTCGAACCAGAAAGGGATAGGAATAATGTTGGGGGTTATTATAAAGGTAAGTTGGTCTTTATCTGCAATCCGTTTCCATTGAAACCGTTCTGGTTGTGTCTAAAAACACATTTTTGATAATTTATGTTGCTACCACAATCATCTTATTTTCCAAAAGTATTCTAAAGACCTTTAGTCGGCCCAGTTTTCTTCTTAAATTTTTATAAAGTTGATTTCTTTGTCCTGATCATACGGAACGTCCCTTTGTTCTAATTGCTTCTGCCAAGAGGGTTTAAAAGTCATAAGATTGCGCATCAATGGTTGGAAAACACAATTCTTTTATCTAAGTACACGACCATTATACGAAACACACACACAATTATCTGTATCAAAAATTCAACCACATTGTCCCATGGTCATTTAGATGAACCCCTTTTAAAATAAGACCCCGAAAAAGTGATAATTTATTTTTATTTAAAGAAATGGCTAAAAAAGTGTAGTACCTGGAGGTCATTTATCTACATCAGCGCTAAAACGTATATATTATTAAAAATGTGCTCATACCTTTACTGAAGATGAAACGTGTAGGTAATAATATCTGTACTGAAGATGAAACGTGTAGATAATAATACCTGTACTGAAAATGAAACGTGTATGTAATTCTAAAGTTAGATTATTCATTGACATTGCGAACACTACCAAACCAATTTCCTCAACCTGAACACAGGGCGAAACACTCGTGTACTGGAGAGATGCCTTTGCGCTAACTCATCCAAGGGAGTTTATACCTAACCCTTCTATGAAAGCCTCTGCTCAGATCCTGGATTGTAGTAGGAACCACATGAGAAGGATAGATCTGCAACAGATATTGGACTATGATTCTGCAGCGTGTAATACGAATATGCAAAGCACATTCTATGTAGCTGCTCCGCCTTACAAAGAACTAGGTTTCAGATCTTTGGCTTTACCCGACTGGTGCGCTTTAATCCTTCACATTAAATATAGCCCTTCATCAAAAGATGTGGTTTGTACAGTGAACTATGATTTACACATGAGCCTCAATAGACATGAGTCGCAGAGGATGGCAATATGATCATATATAATTATGACCTAACCTAGTACCAAACTGAAGAAGATTATAATTTAAGACTTCCCTCAAAAACAACATGTGTTCAAAAATACCCGAATTGAGTTAACTGACAATTAGTGACCACTTGTAGTATTTACCGGTACAAATGGTGATTTCATACAAAATTACCACAGATAAAGTCTATAAGGACTGATGTGTTTTTTGTGTTTCCTAACTAAAACGCTGATTTTGGACATGTGTCGTTTTTGAAAAAAGGTCTTTAAAGTGTTCTTGGTATTTACAAAGTGAGACGACCAAGTGAGACAACCAAGTCAAGTTATATTGCTGTCACTGCATATATACAAGAAATTTGTGTGAGATAAATCATACTAAATATGTTTAGTCAAACTCCATGGGTCTTCTATCATCGACTTAGAACTAGATAATTTTGATAGGACTAATGTTTAACCACATAAGATGTTGTGTGAATATAAGTAGATAGTAGTACTATCTAAAGGGAGTCTGCAGTGCTCGTCACTCTTGAACACTTTGGCCACAAAAAAATAAAATAATCACTGATGTAACAAAGGGGGTCAGTGTTTTTTAGAGATATGTATAAAGAGCCTTTTAAGCATTGTTTGGGAGATTGTGGAAATCTAGCAAAAAATTAGACTATTCTTCGTGGAGTACAACTAAATGATTGGTTCGGTTAATTCAAAGATAAATGTTCATCCGGTGGAGAAGTTATGGCCAGTCTTGGTAACCATTTTATGGAGACTATATTGAGAAATAAAATTGATTTTGTGTTGTTTCTACCAAAGTTTTCAAGCTTTCGTCGCTGGTATAGAATTTTTAATATGTCCTTAGAGAAGAATGAGCTGACCTTCTCTTTCTTTTCATGGCTTTCTTATTATAGTTTCCTTGTTATTCTTGTTGGCAAGCTTTTACTCCAGAATCCCCTATAAACAGTTTTTGATTTATTAATAAAATTGATAGCATAAATAACCGTGATAACATGCAATTGAACTCACAAAAACAATTATTACCTTATAATAAGTTGTTGCTATTTCAAACTATGCACTTTTTCTTTCTAAATGTTCTCGTAATTATAATTATCCTAATATCATCGAACTTCTATTAATAAACATATATTAAACACATAAACATAATCATGTATTTTCATTTTTTAACCACCCTCATGCATTGTTTTAATTCTGTAAGCAAAACAAATTATATTTAAAAAATAATTGTTAATAACAAAACATTTAAAATTGTTTGCACTAATATTATTAAAACCAGATACACTAACTTTTTTTGTTTTAAATGTTTCTAAAGAATGTTCTTATAGACTAGGTACATTCACACAAGCCACTCGCATTAACAAAAAATTCAATCAAACGAGAGACAAAATTATGTTGGCAAAACTAATTTAGTTGAAATTTTTAAAATTCGAATTGAGGAATTCCCGAAAATGACTTGTGTGGGTAAATGGTTGCTATATTGCTAACTACTAACCTGTAATAATGTCAACACAAAATTAAGTTATAAGTTAATCAACTACAAAACTGATGCATGTGCAGGAATCACCATGTATAGTCTGAATAAAAGAGAAGTGCAGTAAAAGTGGTCACATTCCATAGGCGTATTTTGCAAAATAAATTTTTATAGTATAAATAAGGTAACGGGATATAAAATAGTGTATAAGCAGTTCGTATATTAAATTTTGAATGAAAAAACTTTTATGATTTACAAGAAATAAAAATAAACCTTATGCTTCTGGCAAAATTGTTGGACTTTAACATTGAACGAATTAAATTTAACCAATAAATATCAATAAGGATTATATGTTGTTAATGGGATTAAACTTTTTTTAATCTTTTGGCATTAAAAGTAACGCTTCAGTACCTAAAATCAAACATTAAAAAAATAAAAAGTTCCAGAACTATATTTAAAAGTCACTGTCTTCGCTATAACTACTGGTATCATTATCATAGTTTTTCTGAGGTTTATTAATATACAGTCTATTAAGTTTTCCATTGCTATAATCCAGGGCCGCCAAGAGCCAGGTGGGGACCCGGGACAATTTTCCAGGTCGGGCCTCGCGGCAGCTTTTTCAATATCACATTTCTAAAAAAAAGGTCTTTAAGCAAAAACTTCTTCTTTAGTGAAATCTCAAAACAAAGCTCTTCAAGCAAAAACTTCTTCTCTTTAGTGAAATCTCTAAAACAAAAAAAAGGTCCTCCTACAAAAATAAAAACCGTCCTCACCAATAGCTGCCGGGCCCCGGGAATTAGTCCCAGCTACCTCCCCCTCTTGACGACCCTGGCTATATCCACTTTCCAAAATGAATATTCCTTTTTTAAATGATCAATAAATTTTCTCCAATGTTCTCCATTTAGATCCAAAACTGCATTCAAAAACAAATTTCGCACATAGGTAATAATTTAAATGTATTGTTTCAAGAAACATAACCTTTTAATTGTGACCAGATCAGTTCAATGGGATTTATTTCTCCGTGGTAAAAAGGCAATCTGATAATTTAATTGGTTTTTCTCGGGCCATCTCGTCTATAATATATTTTTGAATTTGTATTTTGCCTTGCTATTACGAGTAATTCTGCCTTCAAAGGTTTAGGAGGACTGATAATATTTTTAGAATGAAGCCATTTTGAAATATCTTCTTTTTTCCATCTTGTTGTAGGTAGTCCTTTAATCGACTGTGCTAGGATGCATTATCCAAAACAATAACGAAGTTGGCTGGAATTGGTTTTATAAAGTTTTGTTGAAACTAATTTTCAAACAGTTCCGTCCATTTCATTTGTTTTCTTTGACTCTAACATTAACAAACCATCTAGCAAAAATCCATCGGTGCTTCCAATGTGGATTATTATTAAACGATTTCCTTTTTCTGTTGGATTTTTTAATCCACAAGAGACTCCTTCCATAAAGGCTTGTTTTTTTAGTTTTGATGGAGGTATAGTGTTTCTAGACTCAATCCAATACAGGGGTTTGTACCGTAATAATTCGCGTTACATGCCATACGAATACTACAAATTCTATACTCTCACATTGCAAATAAGCGTGAACCGTCTTGGTATAGCCTCTGATGTGGCACACTTAAGTTTTAAACATCTACGCACCTACAGTTGATGTTAAGTCCACAAGTGAGCGGCCAAAATTGCTGGCTCGCCTGGCTGCTTTAGTTGTTTTATCTTTGATCAGTAGCGTGCACGGTTTGAAAAATTTTACCAAAACGTTTTTTAAACTTGTTTTTATTTTTCGGTGTTTCTTTTAAATTGTAATTTGTGTTATACGAGATGCTTTTCTGGAGACCTTTTGAGGTAGATGTAGATGATAAGAGTCATAATTTTACATGCTGGAAATCAAAATGGCTTTGTAGCAAACGCTTCGCTACTTTCAGCAAAATATGTCACTAAAGCTCTGCTGGTTTATCATGAAGATATGAATGCAGCAGTTTTTAAGAACTGGTTTGCTGAACAACTTTTACCGAATATTCCACCTAATTCAGACATTGTAATGGACAATACGCCATATCATTCCCGGAAAATTCACAAGAAGCCAAGTAGTGACTCTAAGAACTCAGATATATCAAAGTATTCAAAAGATAATAACATTGATAGTCCTGCTTCCGTAAAAACAAAACCACAATTGTTACAAATTGTTAAAGTAAGAATATTCCAATACAGTATTATATTGATAATTTTGCAAAAGATGATGGTCATACTGTATTGTGTACTTAATCCAATTGAATTAGTTTGGTCTTCAGTTAAACAAAAACTGAGACGTAATAATTTTGCACCTACCTTAACAAATGTGATTTGGAAAATATTAATGGCGTTTTTAAAGATCCGTCTTTGACTGACGTTTGGAAAATTTGCATTAGTCACGTCCTAAAAAGGAAAAAGAATATCATATTTTACCTTCTATAGCTCCAGTAGTTATATATCCAAACCTCGATTCCTCGACAGCTGGTTCAGATTTAGATTCGAATTAACTTTCTTATTTTTCATTATTGGTAATCCGAGAGTCATCAAATTAATTCATTGTTAACATTTTATTAGTTCGTATTCATTTATTTCTTTTAAAAAATTCATTTTTCTAAATTATTTTATAGTTTTGTTCTATTTGCAAAGAATTTATTTTCCTTTATGGTTTTTGCTTGGAAATTTTGTTTTCCGAAAAAAAAACGAATGGAGAACAAAAAAGGGATCAGTTCACGTCTGGTACCCTGTTTGAACCAAACGACCTTACAGGCAGGTACATTTTACTCGTCTATTTACGTTTTATAATTTAATAATTAGTTGTAGCAAATTACGAGCTATAATAATGATTTTTTTAAGTTTCAAGAAGGACTACAATTAAGTGCATCTCTCTATATAACGGCGTTTAACGCCGTCCAATTTATAATCATTCGATCGCCTTTTAACGAATACTTTCTCGTATTTATAAAAATATTTAATTTTTAAAATGAGGTATCTACGCCTGTGATAGATTAAACAAAATTGTCAGTAATAGTTCGGAACGAGTTTAATGGAAGAAATATACATAATTATTAATTTAATTTATTTAATTTTAATAATAAAATTGGTACGCCCATGTGCGCGGTCCCTTTGAAGTCGGTACTAATCAGTTGCCGTGTTGGATTGTGTCTAGAAAGACTATATCTTCCCAAAGTTTTGTATTTTGTATTTTCTAATGCACTCGCCATTCTTATATGACTGTAAAATTTTAATATTATAAACTAATACAAAATTCTGACTTATCTGTCAAAAGAAAAGATTTATTACAGTAAAAACCATGGAAACAAATTCAAACGAAAACTTTTATTAGGCTGATCGTATTAAAATTTTCATTTCAACTACAAATAAGCATTCAAGGATGAGGTACAAATAAAATGTCTACCTATTGAACCTGTACTAAGTTCTGCAAATTAAATTACTGAACTCCTTCCTTCTTTAGACTATAGTTATTTACAGCTACTAGACCAATCCAAAAAGTGTACTTCAAAAAGTATGAAATTAAGATGGCGTTACTGTACTAGAATGGCGTTTGAAAGCGGCGAAAGTAGTGACAGTCACAATCACACCAATGATGTCCATGGTTATATAGATAGCTCACTCATGTAAATAAGAGGTTAAACCTAAAAACTACATCGTAAAAAGCGACTGAGCTTACAGTAGGAGAGCCCAATACAAATTTCGGCCGTCATCTGATAACGAAATGAAATATACTCCAAAGGCATGTAATAACATTGTACTTTACCAAACAGCACCTGTGCCAATTATTATCCAATTTGGTCATTTCCTGAAACCTCATTTACTGTTTTTTGGTGGATATTTTTTTTCAAAATTGTCCTCCTTACCTCTACACTCCATAAACTGTACTAATTTTAACGTGAATAAATGATACTTGTATTATCGCCAATCGAGACTTGGTACCTGTCACTTGTCTCTCACAACTTGTCGAAGCGTGAAGTCTCTCACAACTTGTCGAAGCGTGAATAATTAATTTTAAGTTCCAAATTTTTGTATTAATAGTTGTTATTGGGGGGAGGGTTGGCTCAGTGGTTAGAGTAACTTTGAGGTCGAAAGATCTCAGGGTTGAATCCCACCGGCGACAGGTATTTTTATTTAATTTAATAAATTAAATATTAATTCTAATGCATTGGTAGGATTCCCCAGTCGACCATTAACTGTTGGGTTCTAATTAACAGTGCTGGGAAATATTAACAAAGCCTACACCGAATACGAGGCTAAATACCATTAGCCGATGACACCAAATTAAAAAAATAATAATTGATATTACATTTACATACAATTTTAAATAATCAATACCTTTAATTAGTTAATGTATTATATTTGTGTTTAACCGACAGTATGTCTAAACAAATAAATGTTTTATGGCTATCAAAAATTTGTTTTTTAAACTCTTGTAGTAAATTTTGTAGTAGGTTAACTTTGAACTGAATTTTATGTTGATATTTTCCATTTTTTTAATATAACTCCCTCTTATTGAATTTCTTTTGTTTAATTCTCTTGTTGAATGTAGATAAGCACTAATGATGGCTTAAAGCCGAAGGTGCATTGCAAAACAATTTTTTATAACTAAAGGCTAGTATTTACAAACAATTATTAATTTATTACATTTACAATAAGATTGAACTATATTTAATTCTACTTCCTACTTAATCAGGTAATTATTTAAAACAAAACATTTTAAGTTATACGTTTATTTATTTTCAGGAATCAGCGAATGGTCCGAACACCGCCAACAACACCACTTCGCCGAACAACGCAACTCGCCCCCATACCATTCTCCGTCACCTTATTCGGGCGATCGTATTCTCCGATCTCCCAGCCCCGACTATCGTCCCTCTCACTCCCCTTTACCCGACTATCGTAACCAACACTCGCCTACGCCCGATTACGTCCGAAATCAACATTCACCAATGCCCGACTATGTCCGAAATCCGAGGTTGTCGCCCAAAAGGGAAGTCGTGATGATCACTCCAACGCCGCCTAGACGAACAAAGAACGAAAGACCAAGACAACGAGTAGTAGAAGATAGAAGCAGGTAGGTGATTTGATAAGTGATAGATAAAGTGACCGATTTAGGCGGGACAGTCCAGATTTTAAACCACCCGATTTAACATGTATCCCGATTTTATCCCGCTTCTGTCCCGCTTTTGTCCGATGAAAAGAACATATAAATATTCTAGTGACGTGACAATACGCATTTAATTTTCTTTTTTTTTGCTCTTCAATAAACCAAAAAACCGTCACTACTGCAAATAGAATTCGACGACAAATCTCCATGTTTTCGATTTGTCCCGTTTTCTACTTTTCAAAAATGTGGTCACTTTACTGATCCACCACACCATTAATCGATTATTTTGTGAATGGTCCCCTGAACTTGCACTATAAGGGTGTTAATAAAATATTATTTACACTGTTATCGGTTCGTTACAAAATTTATGAGAACTATTTTTTACTCTTACAAATGGCGCTGTACTCGGACGATTGCTCGGCCGCCAGATTATTTGAAGTGGTTTACTCCATTATCTCTTGAGACGTTGTCAAAAGTACTCGAGCAACTGCAGATGGAGATAAAAAAAGGTCACGTTGATTTCTAATTACCTACCTGAACTGAGGGTACAAACAACGGGCTTTAATCGTCGTTTGTGTCAAATGAAGAATTTTCCAGGAGCTGAAAGAAAAGGCGACACGGTTTAATAACCGCAATAATTTACCAGTAGTTTTACTTCAATCAATCTATAACGAAAGCTATACAATAATTTTAATGTGTATCTCAACGTCCACCTTTTACGGAATAATAGAGAGCTATAACAAATTTCTATAACTAAGAGTGACAACGTATTTAAAGGCAAATAAATTCTATGCTAAAATGACATTAGAGTCCTTGTCCTTATACATATTGCCAACTTCATTTTAAAAATTTTAAATTACAGTTCTTCTTTTTTTTTTTGTTTATAATAGTACACAATATTGAAGAGGAATTAGAAATTATTTGAGAAGGTTTAGGTGACGATGATATTAAATGTCAGAATATAATGTAGAATTTAATATAAAATTATCATAAAATGCGGTAACGGTAATAATTGCCCTATTGGTGAATAGTTCCTACTAGTATTGGTTTTCAATTTAATAAAGAAAAAATAAATATCGCGACAGGAATCATTTTTTTTGACAGATTACGGTGCTAATTTGCATAACGCAGATGTTTTGCATTTTAATAATTATTAGAATATTGGCTGTGACTGAAATTCGATTTAAAATATATCATGAAACACCCTGGTAACTCTATAGTTTTTTTAGTAATAATATAAAATAGATGCCTAACAAAAGGCCTCAAAATTGTCTGGCACCTAGGGCCTCATGTTAGGTAAAACCGGCCCTGAACAATAGGTTTGTTCCAACAACGATCCGAAACCAGTCATTGGCACTAGGATTCTGCGCAGTAGATTATTTAGACCTCCAAACTCATACTGCGCACAATCTTGGTGGCAATGACTGGTTTCTAATCGTTGTCGGAATAAACCTAATGTAAATACTACCTCAAATCCTTGTGAGCAAATCGTGAGAGTATTGTGACCTGAGCGCCTAGTGAGAATCGGCCTTAAAATTTACGCAAATTTGGAAATAATAAATACAATATATCTGAATCTAAATCCCATCAATATGATAATGCAAAAATAAAATGTCTTCCTAGCGAACTTACTTATGTTCGGACTCATTATATGATTTATACTAGTAATGAAAATTTAACTTTATTACAAATTAAATTGAACTTTTACAATTAAATATTTAAACACCTATTATGCACTGAAATGTTTTTGTTTTACATTTTATTTACTTGGTAATAAATCTCAATATGGCACTAAGTTTGTATCATAATTTTAATACATAACATTTGGTTATTTTTCCAAGTTATAATGATTTTTCCAAAAGTGGTTCAATATCAACTCTCTCCTAAACGACTAAATGCCCATTAAACAGGGATTATTTATAATCACATGTAGCCTATACCCAATGTTAAAGCATTGGCGGCTGGTGCATAAGTGCTGTAGACCTGTAGTATCTCATCTACATTTCTCAGAAATTATTTGAGACATTCTAAAACATACGCAAAATAAATTTTAATGATTATCTAAATTTTCATTATTAAATAGTATCCGTAACGTACGACCGTATTTTACTATCATTTCATAGCTGAGAATAAGTCCAGATCGGACTAGTGGAAGATTTTTCAAAACTTGCCAGGATAGCTATTCACTAAGTCATGGGAGCGCTCCCATGGGAGTGCTCCCATATATTTTGCTCTCTTACTCGTAGGTGGGTATATCGTGCTTACTCATTTTTAGCCCAGGTACATGCGTAGTAAGGTCAGATTTTATACTATGGGAAGGAGAATTGCGGGCTTGCCAGATTAGGTCCGTATTTATCACAAAGCAAATTTGAACTACTAAGAGCCGATTCCACCGTTGAGTTAAACGGAGATTAAAATGACATTGTTAATGTAAAAATGTCATTTTAAACTTCGTTTAACACAACGGTGGATCGGTCCTTAAATAGTGGATCAAAGTTATTCTGTCGACTTGGCAACGTTGGCATGGGAGTATGGGAGCATGGGAGTGTGGGAGTACTCCCATGAGTTAGAGAATAGGTATCCAGGTCATATTCATATCTTAGTTGGGTTTCACCCGCTTGAGCCGCCCGTGCTCATAGTCTTACCTCTCCACGACTCTCTAAAAAGTGACGCCAAGACACGTAGTGTTTCGGATGCATTTTTGTCAGATCGGCGAGCTTTGTTTATAGTCTGTCGCATATTTGATGTGATTCGATTTCGATTTTGTAGATTATTAGTTTATGTTAATTCGCCAGCGCGTGTATATTGTACATGAAAGACATAGATGTAGTTTATAAGTTAATAAACGAAAATATATTTTTTTAAATACGTGTATGAGTATATTGCTGGTAAAATAATAACTGCTTTTTTGGAGGGGAGGCAGAATCTTGCAGAACAGCCAATGTCTTTAATCACGAGCCATCACTCTGTTAAAGTATATCCGTTTAGGTATAACAGGTGGTTAATACATACTAAGTAAACACAATTGTTTTATACATTATGGTACTGTCGCGCAAAAGCCAACCCTTTGCTTTGTTTACTTCTTGCCCGCGGTATGAAGCCTAGCGTTGGCAATATAGAGACAAACAAATCGTTTCTCGAAACTGCCAAAAAAGCGGTATGTGGCCGTTGAGTCATAGAGATGGACATCGTCTAGAAACTACTGGTACAGAGCTGGGCTTTGTATAAATAGCGCGAGTTGTCGACGGACGGGCAGATTGAAATTAAGTGTTGGACAGAAACGATAAATTGTAATAAATAAATTAGAATAGTGAGTTATAATAGTGCCTATGTATTACATAAATTAATTATAAATAAATTAAACAAACGTTACAGTATAAATAAATAAAATGTAGCAAAATGAACGAGTGGCTCGTTTCGAGTCGTATGTGTATTTATAAGACACATTTAATGGACCCTTTTATTTAGTCATTGATTTTCTTCAATAATATTTGAAATATTTCGACCAAATTTGTATTTTGTATTTTTTTTTTTTTTTTTTTTTTTTTAGATTCGATTCCGAGTACCGAACCACGAGAAGAGACGAAGAAAGAAATGGTAGATTAGACCATGTCGAAGAACCTCCACCGGATTACTCTCCTCCCAGTCCTCCTCAGATGCCTAGCGGAAAAAGGCCATCGCAAAAAACACGATTTGCTGTCGAACCATCGCCGAAACCTCCAAAATCTGGCAATATCATTGGTAAGTTAAATTATAATAAATATTTAATATAGAATAAATTAACTTCCATAAAAAAAATGTTAAATTAACAGTGACTATTTGTCATTTTAAAAGTGATACAAAAGGTGTACCGACAAAAACGCTTATTCCTCAAAACTGGACTGCCTACATCGATTAGTCGTGCATCAGTTTAATATATGATGAGAGAAAATTATAGGTGTTCCAACTTTCCTAAAATCCCATATAAAAACAAAAGTCGATATGGCACCAAACACAACGTAGTTCCAAAAAATCCACCAGAGGTCGTTAGAAGGTGATGTACCCGTAATGTAGTAATGCTTTTTTCATCTTTGTTGAGGTCTACTTATTGTTGTCTGGTCTAGTTATGGTTGATCTTAGATATGAATGATGAACCTATATGTACTGGTGTCAAATGTTGAAATATTAAATTAGATATCAAAAGTAGAAGTTGACCATGTAGAAATAAAATAATAAAGACGCTAGTAATTCCTTTTATAGGCTTTTATTATTGTTTTCTCGTACACTAAAAATGATGAAAAATAGTAATGTTCTCACTTTGTTTTGATGAGATATATGGGTGATTATTAATATTGGTATGTGGTAGTATTTTTCTTCTCGTTGTTTTCACTTTTTATTTCGTTTGTTACGTAGAGTATGATTAGTAGACATTAATAAATTACCATTATTTAAAAAAAAATGGATACAGTCTTATTTTTTACTTGATAAAGATAAAATTAACTGAATTTTTCTGACAGTTCGCAGTCATTATTTGTTTTCATTTGCGGTACATCACCTTATACCGACCTCTGGTGGATATTTTCTGTACTACGCACTGTTTGGTGCCATATTATAAAAAGAGTTGAAACACCTGTAAAATGTCATTCGCCGGGGTTTAATATATGTCTTGATAGATGTCAGTTAAAGTAATTGTTAAGTATCTGTACAATATGAGTCGTTTCTGGAAAATTTTTACTGAAGGAATTGTAAAAAAATGGATGTCTTCGGATGGACTGAAAATTAAGAAATACTTTTTTATTTTCAACTTTTAGAGAAAATGTTGTTCTTCGTAAAAGTTTTAATCATAGGTCCAAAATGTCTTTGCTTTAGTGAAATAATAACAAAAATAAATTAATAATTTTATTATAATTTCACTAAAGCAAATAGATATTCAACTTCTGTTTGAATTTTTATTAGTTTTTAAACAAGCAAAACCCTTTATGAAGAATAACATTTTTTTCGAAAAGGTGAAAATAATACTTAGTTATTTGTTTAACTAGGCAGAGAAGTAACATATTTACCGCCGCGGCTAGCATTACATTGCCGAGGCGAAGCCAAGGCAATAAAACTAGCCAAGGCAGTAAATCTCTTTATCTGTCATGTGAACCATATAATTTTTTGTCTGATTGTTTATACAATGTGTTTAAAAAAAATAGAAATAAAATTAGAACCTTTTTTAAGTATAGCGGATTTTAATATTTAATTTAACCATGATGACCTATGAGACAGTGGCGATATTTTTTGAAATGAGCTGGATTGTTTCAAAATTGGCGCTAATTACATAGTAATAATAGTAAATGGTAGGTTTACAAATAAAAATTTTTGGTGGGAATCGTTCGATCACAGATTTCAGATTCCTTATTCATATTGCAGAAATATTTTATAGTAATTGTTGTTTTTTGTTCTTAAAGTATGACATTTTTGAATTGTCACCTTGTACATTTGCACATTTGTACGGTTTCTAAGAATGATCAAATAGAAATGATTTGAATTGGACCATCGTGTTATACTGACTTATTTACTATCATTTTAGCTATAAATAGACCTTTTTGACGTCAAGACCAAGACCTCAAAGTGTTAATCGTAATAGACAAACTACGTATTTACTCTAGTATAGTTACCATTTTATAAAAAAAATCAATTTTTAATTTAGAATATAAAAATAAAATATTAAATTCTTTTAGTGAGTAAATTATTTCATAATTTCATATTCTTTAGCAATTTTAATGAATTTTAATTAAATAACTGATCATTTGTTTTAGAATAATGAACAATTAATTTTAAATAAAAGCAAGGTTAAAATTAAATTAACTAATAGCATAATAATCGTTTCATCTCATCTTTCCCTCAGTTCTCATCTTTCGATTTTTTTTTCTATTTTTGAGAAACGAAGGCCTCACTAGGTCCATTGTGCAATCTGAGATGCCTCGGAGCAATTCATAAGAATCGTGTACTTTGTGCCAAGTTTTTTAAATTTGGTGTATTCTTAGGTATAATATTAAGGTTTTAGGAAACCATCGCAAGCAACTTGTGTGCGTTCTCTGGTGGCCTGTTTACTATAAATCCAATATGGCCGCCATCTGTATTGGTATTTTAAATAGATAGGCTTTTATTAGACACAAAATCTTGAGAAATACCACTTTTTGTAGGTTCTAGAATGCGAGTAATCCATTTCTCGTATCTAATTTGTTTCAAAATCAATTTCAAGATCATTACGTATTTTGAAATGGCAGATCATGTAATATAATACAAGGTAAAAAATGAAGAAACAGAAATTTAATGTAATATATTAATTACAAAATATAAAGAAACATGAATGGTTGACAGAAATGTGATAGAAGCTGACGTAAATTACAGCTTTGCAACATGATATGATATGATACTTGTTACTTCATGTATTATGTGAGTTGTTTGTGCAACCTTCTTAATACTTGCATGGGCTGCAACAAATCCCGACTCGATAACATTTACATCTGCCTGTTCATGAGACCAAACAACCATTATTAAGTAGCAATTATCAGCCGATTGGGACGATGTAAAGCATTCAAGATGAGACATATACCATGATTCTAACATAAAACTATTCTATTAGTACAAGATCCGAAGTAAAGCTGACCTTCACCCATCTGTTTTTTTATTAAATTAAATATATTCATAAATATACCGCAAATGGATTGCATAAGAAAATACTTTTTTACTTTATTTTCTGTATATAGATGGCGCTATATGTGATTTACCTAAAATGAACCGTATTCGAAATAATTTAGGAAAAAAGCAATTTTAGAATTTTGAAGATAACTCAAACACAGATAAAGCGAAGAACACCAAATTTTAAAGTTTGGCTTTAATCCATCCTGCAGTGAGCTGATTAAATTTTGGGCATAGTCGAAGAATACTTTATAGGGTGTCGTTTTTTTACTATAAGAAAATAAGTAGTCTTGACAGTATTTTTTTAGGCAACTCATTTGCGGCATATTTATAAAAATTTTATTTACTTTGGATCTTAGACTATAATATGTATTTGAGATGTCAGTAATGTCAGGATGACCAGCTCATGAATTCCCTGCCGTCTTTTTCTACTCCAAACATACAGGGTGATTCACATAAGAACCGACATAGAGCAGGGGCATATAGGGGGTCCCAAAATATGGCAATTTAACGCAACTTACCTCTATACCAAGTTGCTTCCCTAAGGAGTTATAGGCTTTGAAAATAAATTTTGAAAAAAATCAATATCTCCGTTATTCTTGAACTTAAAGCAACCAAATTTGGTACACTTTGTGGATGTATTTAGGGCGTTACTTGACAGTAATTGCAATTTGTAAAGGGGGTATACTGGGTGGCGCACCATTAATATTCAACAGAATTTTGTTAACCCTTGATGGATTTTAAAAATCTTTGCTTTGTTTTGTGGGCAATTCAATTCTTAAACTTTTCTTACTCTAGTAATTTTTCGAAAAAACTCATCATTTTCATCAAAAACTCGAATAACTTAAAACGCGCGCTCTAGGTGTGTTATTTAAAATCATCGAAAATTCAAAAGTTGGCTATGAAAATAAACGTCAAACTTGACAATGAAGCAAGTAAGTTGTTCAATTAAGTAATTGTTGTTTGAGTGTTTTTAAAATGAACGGGAAGTTTTCTTTTAACGAGCAAGTTGACATGCTGTTAGTGCTAGGTTTTTGTGAAGGAAACTGTAGAAGAAGTGTAGAAGAATATCGTAGAAGATTTCCTAACCGTATCATTCCCCATAGAGAAACATTTTCTAATGTTGAAAGACGAGCTAGAGAAACGGGCAAGTTTCTCAATAATACTCGAGAACGTGCTGTCGCACTCAGGCCACAAGTTGAGGTAGCCATTTTAAATGCTATTCAAGATGATCCACATATTAGTACTAGGAATTTATCTCGACAAATTGGTATATCGCAGAGTTCTGTGCATCGAGTTATCCGTCGCAATCTACTACACCCTTATCATGTACAAAAAGTCCAAGAACTTTTACCCGGAGATTTGGTTCAACGTGTCAATTTTTGTCAGTTTATTCTACACCAAGATAATAACTTCCAAAAGAAAATTCTTTTTACGGATGAGGCGACTTTCACTCGCAGAGGTATCACAAATCTCCATAACTATCATGAGTATTCTGACGTAAACCCACATGCAATAACTCCTCGGCATTTCCAACGTGAATTCAAAATTAATGTTTGGATGGGAATTATTGATCGATATTTAATTGGTCCTGTTGTTTTACCGAATCGGCTGAATGGTGAAAATTATTTAGAATTTCTACAAAACTGACCTGAACAAATGTGACTTCTTTCTGTGGGGAACGTTGAAAGAATTTGTGTATTCTTCGCCCGTTGCGTCTCAAGAAGAATTATGGAATCGCATTATTCATAAATGCACATCTATTAGGAATAATCAACAGTTATTAGATAGGGTGGATTTTAATTTTCGAAGAAGAATAAATTTATGCGTAAGAGAAAACGGCGATCATTTTGAACAATTTCTTTAATTTATCGATAAACAATTGTTTGTTCTGGTTGTTGTTTAAGTTTTTTGTGTTTATTTTGGTTAGTTGTTAATCCCAGTTTTTCACATTTCAGTATCTGTACTTACTTTAAGTTATTTTGTTACGTATCTAAATAATAATTTGCCAGCCAATTCCTACTGATCACATTAAATGACCTACTTTCTTGTTTGACGTTTATTTTCATAGCCAA